TTGTTGATTGATTTTGGCACCATCCTATATTTATATAATTATTATCCCAGATTTCTGCCAGACTTTGAAGTTTAGTCACCTGGTTAGCAGGCCTAGCTTGCCTACAGCAAGAGCAGACAAGTGAGCCAGAATCACATCACTTGTTCACTGCTGGGGCAAAAAGAGAGGGACACAGCTTCCTTTTACATCCTTTCACATCCAGGGTCACACTGCTCAGTTTTCAGATGCCTTGTAAAGAAAACATGAGTGAATAAAGGGAAGCAATTCTGTATGAATGATTCAAAATGCAAGTCCAGCTCAAAGAGGAAATTTTAACAAAGTGGTTCTGTTCCCAAAGACAAATCTCTGGATGGAAATCATGGAAAAATACAATTTTAAAATAAATTAGATAAGTAGTTTTCATGGCAATTTCTGTCTTCACCCATGACTATTTTGTTCCCATAGTTCTTGTACACAAAAAGGTGAAACAAAGGCTATAAAATTACAGATCAGGTCTATCTATAATTATAAGTCATGTCTTATATTCAGATACAGTTTTCCTGGGTTGTTTTTCAAGATGAGGGTATAGTGTGTATATCTTTGTGGTCAAGTGGGAGTCTTGGTTTATATATATATATAAAAAATAGTTGCCGTGGTTTTATACTGTATAGTTTGTTGAGAGCCATATGGGAGATTTATAAAAAAAATATATTCTGATTTTTATGTAAGTTTAGAAGTGTCCTCTTCTTTCCCCTCCCACTTTGAGTACAGAATAGAATGGATAGAAAACCAGAAGAGAGTGAATTTCTGCTTCTTACTACTGTCACAGGAAATATTAAGTGACTTAAAATGGGCTGGTACCAATGTCTTCTTGTCAGTGTTTGCCAGAGTAAATGGGAAACTGTATGGGTTCCAAGTCCCTTTTGGCTACCATCTCTATATATTTTCTGGCTATGCCAAAAAAACAGAATCCTTTTTCTGTTTCATTTGCTATGCCTCTTAAAAATTTCCTTTGCACTTCTGTTGACATCTAAAGGAATTACTTCAATTAAATATCAGTATAGATATACAATTACATACATGGTATGCAGCTGTAAAATGTAGTTGAAAATAAATTGATCAACTTTAATGATTGAACTGAAGTCTTCCTAGTTTTTCTATCACATAGATTTGCAGCAATTTGTAATGCTGTAGGTAACTACTTCTTGAATGTGAAACATGTACAAGTGCAAATGTATTCCTACTTGGTTTATCCAGGAGAAATGCAGACTAATTTTTCAGCCAAGGTACAGCAAGATTTGTGTTTCTAACTTAGCTGTTGGCTCCCTTTCAAGTCTGCTGTTGTTCTTCATTTTTTCTTCTTACAAACTGATGATTTTCAATGGAAATGGAAGGAAAGCATGTTATAGGAACAAATGAAGGTGTGAGCCTACAGATGCTTGGTACAGAGTTGATGCATAAAAAGTTACAGAAGTGATACCAAGCCCTTGACAAAGTCGAGGGACATTTCTACAGTATCAGGATATAAAAATATTTTCTCAGAATTTAATTACAGAATTCTGTGTGAGGTTAATCTGCTTTCTGGCAATAGTATTATGTTATTGCCACATGAATTCAGTTGGGATGTTGCTTCAAGCTTTTATAAGACTTAAATTGCTGTTCCAGATAAGAAGCCAAAAGTACATAAAGAAATATCCTGATGGAGAGGTGTGTAAAGAAATGAACTCTTCTCCAGCCTTCTCCTAGCTAAGAATTCCAACTGCCTCTTCTACATGTGAAGTTATTTCTGAGCCTTTAGTATTTATTTATGTATTGGAGTTATCAGTGTAATAATATTAAGTGACTTTCATTTCACCAACAAAAGCCTTACAGATTATGTCCTATATTTCTTTTTTTAAGAGAATATTATTATCTTCTTTATGGATGTTTTTGATGTTTTTGTGAACATTTAGTTTTTCTCCACTTGGAAGAAGTGGTGTTATCAATCACCCTTATAAATGCTCTAATTTTTCTTGTGTTCTCAGTTTACCAAAAAAATCCACCACAGGCCTTAGCTTTTCTCTTAGATCAAATATTAAAGCACACATCAGGCTGCAGTCAAATCTAAACTTTTGAACTGCAGGTTTTATTATTTTGCTCTTTAGAAAGAGAGCCTGATTTTATAGAATTGATAGCAACAGTTTAGCATGTCCTGACTCCTTTGGGAACTGTGGTGTGCTCAGACAGATGAGGAGTCATCTGAGTTTATGAGAACATAGTCACAGTCTGGCTTTGGAAATTTGTCTTTGTGCCACCAGTGTTTTTCAAATTCTATAGAAATGTCTTTGGGTACTCAATATACACTCCCAAAAATTGAGGTTGTAAACAATTGGGTTTTTTAAACGTTTTCTCAGCATTTCACTAGTAGCTCAGTTTCAGTGTGCCATTGCTTCAGAATCTCAGTTTTATTACAAATAAGAGCAATGTAAATTCTCCTCTGTGTGAATGGACTCATCTGTCCAGAAGAGAGTGACCTGGATCCAGGTTCTGTGCACTCTGCTGCTAATAGAGAAGTGCCTCTGCACATTAGCACTATATCATCAAGCCCTTGTTATAAATTCCTGTGCAAGAGTATGAAATTATTCCTGGCTATTGATTGCAGGTTGTTAGAACTGTAATAATAACAATTTTCTGTTCAGCATTTCCTTCCCTTTACCTCTGATACCTTTGAGCTATGCACCATAAAGGACAATCAATACTGCCAATATCAGACCTTTTTGCTGTAATTTCCAAAAAAATTTAAATGAGAAATTATCAGATAAGTAGGCTTTTATCATTATGTCTTGAACAAGTAAAGCATGCAAAGAATAATTGACTTTTTATATTTGTAGTATTTGTGTATATGTGTATGTATGTATATATGCATACATACTTCTCATATGTATGTGCTTGTATCTAATAACATGTCTTATTTTATGTGGTGATTCTGCTTCTATTTCCCTGAATATCAGTAGGAATTTTGCCATGACATTTTTTCCTTCCAGAAGTCTCAGTGACTGTGTATCTCGTTAACTGCTGACTGAGAAAAAACTTCTCATACTTGCAGAGGCTTTCATGTGTGACAGCAAAGCATTGAATCCAAAATAACCAACTGTGCTCTCGTGGCCTGATAGGAAGGAAGCAGGTTTATATAGTCCTGTAAACAGTTATATTACTTCATTTGAATTTATTATTTTACTGTATATGAGTTTATAATTTTTGGACTAAAATAGAGGTAACATTACAATGTGGAGAGCAATGCCATCTTTCTAATGTGTGCATTTACAGCTGTAGAAGTCAGTGGGAAGGAAAGCTAGAATGTGTTATCTGATGCACTGCCAGGGTGCTGTACTCAGTCAGGGTCAGATGTCCAGTTTTGTCTGAATGCAGCTCATTTGGATAATATTCATGAAGCAGAAGTAACTAATACTCAAATTTCATTCTTGTGGTTTAGTCATAAAACTCCTGATACAGAAGCCCTGTAAACTGCAAGGCAAGCTAACCTTTATTCTCATTTGCTTTCTTTTTTATGTAACTAAAGGACTCTTTAAAAGATAAAACTGCTCTGTAATACCTTTTTATTTTCTATAATCTGGCATTTGAAAACCGTAACCTTTCTTTCAAAATTTTATAATAGAAATACATAATACCATACTCATTACACCATTTTAGCAATTACCATTTCAGGAACATGTATTTACAATATTCTTAAAGTCAAATGTCACAGTATAACAATGTTTCATAGTCTTGAGTGTTTGATCCTGCATACATCCCGCTGTGTGTTCGTCAAAGAAATTCTCCCAGCATGGATTGGTTGATCCATTTATACATTCAGAAACTCTTCTTGTGCCTTGCTGAAGGCATAAAGACGTTTGTCATTGGGAAGATTCTGGACCATGTCACTTGCTTTCTCAGCTTGAGACAGAGGAACACCAGGCTGCTCTAAACTCCTTAGGGTGCATGCTGTGGCATGAGTTTTAGAGGTGCACCTGTCAGAAAAGAGGGCACTGAAGAACCTTGCTCCCTTAGATAAAACAAAGGCAAGAAGGACCAAAGAAAGCTGGTGTTTCTAAAAGAATATCTGGTTGGTATGGTCAGCCCTGAAGTAGCCCTTTCTGCCACAATTTCTGAGCACTTATCACAGTAAGTTATTGTTTAACATTAAATAACCTTTCTTAAATTCTCTTGGAGAGCCCTTACCAGTCCTTAAAAACCATCCTTCCTCCTATAAAAAACTACTCTGTATCTGCAGCAGAGCCTGTTCTGCAAGGCACATTTTTTTGTACCTCATTTTTTGTGCTAATGTAAGTCTTCACTGTTTTTTCTTGAAGGCAATCAGTCCTGTAAAGTATGCTGAAATACGTCTCCAAATGAATTCTTTCTTAGTATGTTTGAGAATCACCGCAGTAGGCAAAAGCATTTGAATAAAAACTACTCTCAGAATTGCTCAATTAAGAGCAGTAAAGCAATTGTGCTCACCTATATAGTAACTACAGTTTCAGAATGGATTATCCTTGTAAATCAGGTGGCTAGTTACTTTTTTTTAAATTTCCTATATTCCATGGTAAAAAATAGATGTTCACAGTGGCACTGGCTTTAGCATTTTGGGAGTATTCCAGGTGAATCAACCAGTTAGGTGTGGATGGAGGGGATACTGCTGGCAGCAGTTCCCATGTCTCTGTCACACCTGTGTGAAGGCACATGGGCTGCTCATCTTGCAGGATCCCAGTACTCTACCGAGAAACAACCTTCCCTCAGCATTACTCTGAAACATGGGGAAATTGCTTAGAATTTATTTATGGTGTGTTGTTTCACTAAAACATTGCTGGACATCTTGTGGTATGGTTAAAAAACTTGCAGAGGGTATTCAAATACATATTTTCCTGTCTTTGATATTTTCTGTGGCTGTATGAAATATGTGCTATACAGTGCTTATATAGTTCCTTTTGCTTTTTACATCACCAAGTGGTTTTACAACATCATTCTTTGTCTTCTCTTTGTAGGCATTTCCTGTTTAAACATGGATCTGGGTCTTCAGCTATCTTCAGCGCAGCCAGTCAGAACTATCCCTTAACATCCAATACTGTTTACTCTCCACCTCCTAGGCCTCTTCCTAGAAGTACCTTTTCCAGACCTGCCTTCACTTTTAACAAACCTTACAGGTGTTGCAACTGGAAGTGCACAGCTCTGAGTGCCACTGCTATCACAGTGACCCTGGCACTGTTGCTCACCTATGTCATCGGTAAGCGCTGACCCTTTCCTCTGCTGAATTATTCTTTCATCTCCTCTGCTCTGTCTTGCTTGCTCTGCACTAAGACAAATCATGTCTTACTGGTAATATTTGCCATTGGTGCTTTTTAAATCCTGGCAGACAAAACACTGGATTGGCTAAAGGTTGAACATAGAATTCTCATTAACTTTCTACTCTGTTAACCTTGATGCTGCCTAACAGAGAAGGAAATATTATTCAAGTTTGCATGTTTATACTGGCAGAGGACTCCTGCTGATTTTAATTGCTGCGATATTTTCTTAAACGTTTGATTTCCATATTATGCCTTACAACATTGGTTCTCTTAAAGAATTATTTGGAAAGACTGGTAATGTTTAATTGTGTTTTGCCTTGCTACCCTTAGTTAATTTCTTCAGTCTCATCACCATTTAAATCTTACATGATTTTCCTCCTAATTGTTATATCATTTGCTAGAATGACAACTAGCTCTAAAATAATTTTATACCTTGTTGTCTAAGATAGATTTTGGTATCTCTTTATTGAATTTATGTTTAAAAAGTGGGTTACATAGTACCAACTTTGCCATTTTGTTAGCAAAATACATTGGACAGGTTTATCAGAGTAGCAAGAAAGGGCTTCCTCAGGTTTGAGGTTTATTTGGTTTGGTTTTTTTTCTTTTTGGAGGACAGGTGTTTTGGAGGTTGCTTGAAGTCAATGTGGTTACAAGTATACATAAGAGAGCAATTCTCTCTAGTTTCCTACATAACATATAGCCTGAACTTTAATTATTGCATTGGGTTTTCAATCTGAATTGAAAATATTAAAGAACATTCTGTGTGTAGAATTTAAGAATGTGACTGTGGCTTCTGTAAACAAAGGGAAAACTAATTTCTTTTTGCTATCTCACACACTCTTAGACTGTTGTTTTAGATGGCAGTTCACAGGTGGCAGGAGCCAGAGTATTCCTGATACCCTGTAGCTTGAATGGGAATAATTCCAGGTTTGCCTGAAAGAGTGCAGTTCATACTTGGTAAAACTCGACAGAAGTACAAGTACAGATACCTCCAAACTGATAAATGGCCACTGATTTTCTATACTCTCTGAATAACTCTGAATCTATAGTGAAAATTACTAAAATTTCAATAATTCCTTGTTTCCCACTGAGGTTTTCTTCAGTCCCATAGTGACAAAGTTCTGGTGATTGTCAGCAAGGTGCTCATCAGGAGGGATTTTTTCCTAACATCCTCACCTAATGCATATGGGAAAGCAGATTTGAGCATTTCTGGTGCATGATGATTTGAAAGCACCTGAGGATCTTGTAAGCTCCATTAATTGCAGATTTACATAACAGCTGGTGAGCATATGCCCTCGGTTAGGACAGGCTGTATCATTTTTGCAGCCTCATCTGTTTGCTGCACATTTTATCCCACCCACACCATTTAGATTTTATCTGGATTGAAGCAGTGCCTCTTTCATCCCTGTTTAGATTTCAAGTCTGCCACTGAAATTTCTGTAACTTTCTGGGGATATACTGCTGTATGTCATCACCCTCAGAAGGCTGGAAGCACTCCTTGTCACCAGGAATTAAAGATCTCTGTGTGACGCTCCTGTAGATGTGTCTGTTTGTCATATCTTGGTAACACAAGGATATAGCATGTTTTCTTTAGTTAAGCAGAAGCAGGTAAAATGGAAATGTATTTGCATTTTATAAATTATTACAATTTGTATTTATGTTTTCTATGGAAAAATTACAATTTTTTCAACCAGGAGTTCTAATTCAGAAAAATTTTCAGGATGCCATTATTTGCTCTTGTTTTTCCCAGGAATTTTTGAGTTGCAGGTAGTCTTAGTTAGATTATTCCAAGTGAATATTCCCTCTGCCCATTTCTGGTTGGTTAAATATTTAAATAAGTTTATGGTCTCTTTTTGTGACTCAGATACCTAAATTCTTTCCCTTTTGCTGGGTTTGAATCATAGCATAGAAACTGTTTCCAGAGTTCACTGGCTCTGTAGGCTAGTATATTTACATATCTTTTCACATCAAAAATTTAAATGTGCATGTTTTAAATGAATACAGGCATTCAAACTGTATGTAACACTGAAGTTAAAATTCACTCCCCCAAGTGTTTTCTCTTTGCTCACCATGATTCAGATCACTCACTCCACCAGGTTTTCTTCAAATCAGAGGAAGTTGTGTCTGAGCAATCACAAAAGATATGGGCCTACATTGTAAAACAAAACTCATTTTAATTTCAGGACCAAACTTAACCTGTGATAGCTCAGCAGTTGTTACTGGAAAAATAATGGAGACTTCTAGAAGGCAAAATTGTTTTCATCATTGTATTTTTTGGCATAGCCTGCATTAACTTACCATGAACTACAATTTCGGGCCAAATGAGTGTTGATGAAAATTTAACATCAAGCTTTTTCTTCTCCTAATCTAAGAAGTTAAATGTTCTTTTTCAAGTATTTTTCATTGCCATTTAATGCTTAAGCTATACATTACTTTTAAAACTACGCCCAATCTCAGCCTCAAGTCAGAGCATCTCCAAAGTCTTAGAGACATGAAGCTTATTCCACATCAAAATTTACAAGTGGCTCTTACATTTGTAATGAGCTGAGACCTGTGCCAGAGTGCTCTAAGCTGTGATTTCTTTCCAATCAAAAGGTAAACTAGCAAAATGATTTTGTTCTTTTATTTTTCATCCTTTCCCTCTTATCAGTGAGACTCAATAGCAAAGCTTTTACATAAGAACATGTAATTCTTCTATATTTTCTCTCCTTTGAACTACTACTCAGTTAAAAAAATATTATTTCTCCATTAATCCTCTTTTGGCCTATAATTGCTGTGTTTATTATTTTGCCTTTCTGAAATAAATTTGACTATTATATGGACAGTAAGGAAATTATAGAACACCATTGATGGTTGTGTAACAGCAGATTTATCGAAAATCTTTAGTTTATCAAGAAAAACACATATTTTCACTTCAACAGGAGTAATCTCTGTGAATAGGTTCTAAAGTCATAGTAGTTACTCCAAAAAAACCTTATTTCATAAAGTGAATGTTTGGTCTTCAGACTGTTGGAGGTGTAATTGTAAATTTGTTGAATTACTTTCTATGGGAAAAGTCCTACATATTTTTGTTTTTCATTTTTCTGTATTTCTATGAGTTGAGAAATGTAAATCACGTAAATCTGGGGCAAGGTTGTTGAGTTTGCCCACAAGAGAGGCAGGTGAGCAGTTGGGATGCACCTCAGGGAGGTGATGCTGGTGCCTCTCACCAATACATGGGGGGCTGCAGCAGCTCCACCAGCAGTTCCTGGTCTGCCTGAGAGTCTTGCTAAAAAATTCTAGAGTAAATTAGGCAAATACAAGAGATAGAATAAGAAATACAGTATTTCTTTTGGTTTTTTGCAACACCACATCATTTCCTTTAAGCCCAGTAGAATGGGTGCTGTGGCTGCTCGTTTAGTAGTTATTTTTAGCCCATTAGTGAATAGGATTTTTCTTCCATGATACTTTACCATTTTATCAGCAGCTGATTCTGGACTTGCAAATCACTGGTCGTATTGATCAAAGGTGCAGAGCTCCTACTGCTCCTATTGATTTCAGCAGGTGATGCAAATGTTCAGTGCCTCTGAAAATTGCATCTCATGTTCTTGGATTTAACCATCCCTGACTATGAAATGACTATTTTATATACAAATGAATTCTCAAGTATGAATATGAAGTTGTCCCTATCCTTCATGATATTATCACTATTTATGAGTAGGCACTGGAGGTGGGTGTTGGGTCTTAAATTATATTCACATGAAGGGTAAGGAAATTAAAGCCTCTGTGCTGCCTGACACTGTGACCTGTCATTTCTCACTCCATGTACAAGGGAGAGGAGTGATGGTTTCAACATTGGGAAAGGCCAGACCAAATTTTAAGGACATATGTATCTCAGTGCATGAATTTATAACATTGGTTGCATCTCTTTAGACAATGTATAACAGTAACAAAAAGGGAATTATGCAGAGAGGGATCAAGGGGAAAATACACTGCTGTACACTGAAGAATATAATGGTATAGCAAACAGTGCTAGGCATTTCAGGGCTATGCAAACATTGAGATACAGATGCATAACCCTGAAATGTCATTGAACTCTTTACTGGGGGATCTCTCACTGAGACAGATTCATCAGGGGTCTCAGCTGGGAATTGTCATATCTGCTCTCCTGGATTACTGAGGAGCTTGATACTATCACAAATCTCTAAGTATTCAAAGGAGAAACATTTACTGTTGCCCAAGACTAGGTTTTGTTTGTTCCTAAGTATAAAATATGACTCGGTAATGAAAAATGAACCATCATTTCACCTCCTTCTCTAGGAGGATTGAAGGAGAGGGGGGTATATTTGTATTTTCAGGTATAGAAATATATTAGGTATAAAGGTAAGACTTCTTGAGAAAGAGGAGAGTGCTGAGAGTTAAGATGGCTTTAACAAACACATGGAAGAAGTCGTTATTTCATTAAATGCCCTGCATGATCAAAACAATTTAACGCTTTATATGGATTTTAAAAAATAATCTGAATTATCAAATATTTAAAGTCTCAAATCATGAAATCTGTTTACAGCAGAATGAAATAGTATTTTATTTGTAAAATGAGCTTACAGAAGATCACATCTTCTAAAGGTCATGATCAAAACTTAGATTCTGGCTCTTGTGTCCAGGTATTTTTCTCATTAATTCACCTTTACTGGAACTGAGACACTGATGTATCTGTGGCTTTATGCCAAAGTGAAATCCAGTTTTATAAACAGAACCTGCTAGCAGTTACAGAAACAATTTTCTGGCACTTAGAGCAGGTGCAGAAGGAGTAGTCAGCTGCTGATATACATTCTCTAACAGCTCTTCTGAAGTCTGGGCTTCAGGGGGATGATCTACTGAGATTCTGTAAAAAAGCAGAGAAAAAAAAGAGAAAGCTAAACAGAAGCCTTTAGTGGAGGTCAGCAATTTGGAGGGGCTTCACATTTGCAGGATTTTTTTGTCCTTTGAAGTTCATCTTGCAGGTAGTAAGTACTTATTGCACAGGACTTTTTTGATGTCTCCTCACTACTGAGTGTCTCTTTTGCACTGGAGCCAAGGCTCTTATTCACATTCTGCCAAACATGTAGCACCGGAGTTGACAAGCTGTGCTTACACAGAAGGTAGATAAGAATAAATTAAATTAGATCATTGGCTTCCTAGCAGATGGCAGGTTAATGCAGTTTACAAAGCGAGTTCTGAAAAAATTGCTTGTATTTTTGTGGATATTTACCTGAGTATGCGGTAGAATTGTGGGGACTGAGGTAGTCAGTCTGGAACTGTCAGTTTGTTTTGTTTAAATGTTGAACAAAATAAGTGATCTGGTCAGTTACTTCAGAGATAAAGACTCAAATTTTGTTCTGAGCGTGGCCCTACTGGTTTTACTTACAGCAGTAATGTGAAGCAACAGAAACCTGCCTCTGAGTGGGGAAAATCCCTTAGGCAGCATAAAGTTACACTCACTTTTCATCTCTTTGCTGAGAATTCCATGAAAGAAATTTATTGAAAGGTTAGATGATGGAGGCCTTATTTCTTTTTCTGCAAGAGATCTGTTTTATACCTAATAATTATTTTTTTTACCTTAGAAGCATAATAATTTACCTAAGAAAACCTCTGTACTATGACTAGGATCTTCTGTACTAGAGAGAGGTCATTTAAAATTTCCCTGCACAGCTCCACTGTGTGGCCTGGCCAGGGCAGCATGGCTGAGGAGAACATTTAGGTTCATCATGATCCTGTGGCATCCTCCAGTCTCTTCTAATCCCCAGACTACAGACTCCTCCAGATTTAGCTTTTGCCATAACATTCATAATGCATGTTAAAAAAAAAAAAAATCTGTGTTAACTTTTGTGTTAGAATTTTATCAGAGACTTTGAATTTAAAAGGGCTATCTAATAAAATATAAATGAAATATAGGTATGGTAGTATCCATCATGTAAGCCCTATCTTTACATTATGTAAAGAGGATCAAATTTTGACCTCAAATTAATTTTGCCTCCAGATCACCTCAGTGAAAGCAATGTACAATTCTGGTCATGGCAATGTGCAACTCATAGATTGCACAGAGCAAAGTAATGATGTAATTATTTACAGGGGATTATACTGGATGTTCAAGCAAGCCAAAAAAGAATATCTCTTCAGATGACTGCAGTTCCTCCCAGCAGGGAGAATATTGCACTCAGCTGTCAGAGGAGAGGTTTGGTTAGGCCAGCTGATGGAAGTCAGGGTCTGATGCTCGTGCTGACTCACCACAGCTCCTCCTAACAGGAGTGTGAATTTTGCAATCATGCCAGCTAACAGGCTGTTTCATCTCCACTTGCCTGCTGGCCCTTGAGTATTGCCTGGAACTGTAGCAGCTCAGCAGTGATTTTACACACCCTACCAGTACCTGAAGTGTTTTAGGTGCTGCAAAATACAGGGTATGTGATTGCAGAATTTTTTGGAATGCCAGATAGGGAGAGCCAGAGTAGCTTTTGCTCTTTCTCTAAAGTAAGTGTAGTCATCAAACTTCAAGGGCTGTTCTGTGTGAAGTTGAGCTGCATCATCTAATGCATCCTTACCCCTAATGGTGGGTTTCACACTGTTAGTCAGCCCTCAAGGGTGCTGCAGTCAAGATCTTGAGAAGGTTGAGCTTGGAGGAAAGGGCAGAGACATTGATCAGAAAGTGAATCTCCCTCCTTCTTACCTAGCGCTAAGTTAGACAGAGTGATGGTATCATCTCCTATTTGTTCTGTGGAGTAGGAGCTTACACCTGGGTATTACACATGGGAAATACAGCTGAGAACCTTGCAAATGGATTTATGCTGGGGGAAGTGACATTGTGGCCCACATTTGAATTGCACAGCATTTTCTGTGCCCCTTTTTGTAAAAGCCAGAAATCCAATAGAAAAAAAAATCAAAGGGCAAATAACTCAAAAGAGAGGTTCTTTTGAGCTTTTTAATGAAATTCAGTACATGCCTACTTATTTCTAAAGAGATTTGAGAGATGGAGATTTGAAAGTTTTCTGTAATCTTATTTGGTGAAATAATTGTACATATGTTGTAGGAAAAAAGCTCCATAGGAATTTTGTATACCCCAGGTAAAAGAAAAGTATCACAGAAATGAAGAAGTTAGGGAGGGCTCTGTGTCTGCTAAATAAATATCTATAGTTAACTTCTGAATAAAGTATCTCTCAGAATTAATGCCTTCAATGGTATTTGTGGTCTGGTTAGTCCCAGAGTGTCACCTGGATCTGAAGGTAACTCCACAATAGCTATAATTAATGTAATAAAAATTGGAATGGTTTTAAGACTGCAAGGTGACTGGGTTTCTGCAGTGTTTGAAGTCATTCAGATCAGTTCATGTAGCTCTTACTGTCACAGCCATGTGCTTTGGGGTACAGCCCTCAGTGGTGCCCATTGTGTAGCCCAGTCCAGTGCCCCGTGTCAGCGCCTGGGGATGAGACATCCGGGCTGGCAGAGCCCATCCTCTGTGCCACACACTTGGTGTTTCCAAGGAGGAAGCTGACTGTCAAACCTAGATCGTTTTGCAGCTTGCCAAGCTTTGGCACAAGCTATAAAAACAACAGCACTTCCCCAGCCTGAGGCAAGACAAAGCCAGTAAAGGACTGGAATTATTGAGTGGATGATAATGTGAGCAGAGTGTGCGATGGGGCAGGGGCATGCACCAAGGAAAACATTCAGCCCTGGCTTTGTGACCTACCCTCTGCAGCATGTGCAAATGCCGACCTAGGAAATGAATGATAACAACAATGGGAATAGTGTAAGAAAGCAACAATATCATATTCAGGATTCCATAACCACTAAAAGCTTATTATTGATGTGGGCAGTTGAGTTTTGCTTCCAGTGATCTGTTTCAAGTGCTTATATAATTATTTGCATTAGTATAAATGAAATGTGCATTCATTAGCTATCAGTCTCATTGAACTGTGTTCCCTTCTGTTGTTAATGACTCTTTAAATAATAATAACGTCCAGAAGCTCAAGTCAGGAGTAAGAGCACTTACTCTAGAGATGTCAGGGCTGCTTCTTGTTGTACATGGCAGTGATTCACATTAAGAATCTCAAAACGCAGACCTTAACTCTGTGTGATCTGACTGCAAGACACTTTTCCAAGTATTATCATGGTCCCTTGGTGATTTCAAGACTATAGACCATAGAATATGAAGCAATCCAGGCTTGAGATCTCACCACTGACACCAGAAAGCTTAGAAGTACACTTCTAATACCTCTTGTGGGGAGTGGGTATGTGCTGCCCAGTCTCCAGAGTCCAGACCTGATGGTGAGTCAGTGGTTTGAGATGCAGTAAATTTCTCTCAAATACTGTCACCTCACTAATTCAGTAGTAATGCTCTCATTTGCTTGATTTGGATCACGTATCTGTAGTTGGGTGACCCTGGAGTGCAGCGATCTGGAATTAATGGCTGTAGTTTGGCAGCTTTGCATTCTTGCAGCAGTGTCCCCAAGCCCTGGACAGGAATGCATTCAAGGCTTGGGATTTTGTTGAATTTTTATAATTTAACTTTTCAGTGTGCAAGGGAGACTTGTAACCAAACACATGGGAAATAAACTCCAAGTTTTCTGGTTGTATTGAGATATTTTCCTTGAAGTATGTGCAAGTGCAGAATAAAACCATGTACTTTCTTAATGCAAGACCTATTCTAGATCACACTTATTTCTCCTGGGAGTCTCTGAGGTTCTACATGGTTCAGGAAGAGCAAATATATTGCCTTTTAGGCTCCCACTGTGGGCAGATCCTACTCAGTGCAAATTGCTGCATGTGGCTAAAGAGCTGCTGCTCAGGCTTTGCTCTTCATGTGACAATTTCAGCTCCTCAGTAGGGATCAGCCTCAATCCATATTTTAATGGGTCATCAGTCCTCCCTGCTGAGCTGCTTCAATGCTAAGGCAACCTCTTCCTTAGAATAATTTGCCCTTCTCACTAAGACCTAAGCCATTGTCTAGACTAACTGCAGTACTGTCATGTTGTACTAAAATAAGATCCTCTGTTGCTGTCTTTCTCCAACCATCCTTCAAGGCCTCAGATCAGAAAGAAAGAAGGGAAAGCAGAAAACATGAATGGCTCTGCAGGCAAAGTAGAGTAGGCAACCCTTGCATATGGCAATAAAGATAGTTTATAACTTCTAAAAAGGATTATTTAGTAATTTTCCTTGTACATACATAAATAACAACTATATTTCTGTTAATTTGTGTTGTTAAATAATTGCATATATTTTAGATGTAGAGCCAGCTTTTTATCTGCAGTGCAGTTCTAGACTAAGTCTGGTTAAGTAAGTAACCAGTAAGTAAGAGTAAGTTTTTGCTAATGTTTAACTTAAACAAAAGGGTTTCAGAGTGCAGTGGGCACAGTTTCACTTCAAACTGGATTGGAAAGGTGAGATGTTTTAGTTGGTGTCATTGTTTTTGTCAACAAAATCTGAGATCTTTAACAGTCAAAAGCTGAGGGTCAACAGTGATACAGCATTAGAATCTATCACACAATATTGAATTTATTCAACTGTTATCCTTTTAAATGCGAGTAACTCCATTAATTGCTGCAGAAATGCATCACCCTGACCTGGCTGAGCTCCAGAAGAAAGTGTGGAAACTAATTAAACATTGAGTTTTAAGGTAAAGTGGTAAATTGCTCATTACCCCCTTGAAATTCTGATTTATTACTAACAGAATAAAGTAATACTTGACTTTGCAGAAACTGGGTCATAGCATTCTTCCATAGTCTCACTGAAGGTGCTGTAGTTTAGACACCAATTAATTGGTCTTCATTTTTTTGCAGCAGTACACTTGTTTGGTTTAACCTGGCAACTACAGCCTGTGGAAGGGCAGCTCTATGAAAATGGAGTTAGCAAAGGAAATAAAGGAACAGAATCCATGGATACAACTTACTCACCAATCGGAGGAAAAGCTTCAGACAAAACGGAAAAAAAAGGTAAGTGTAAATGAGAAGGAGGCAGATGATGAATAGTTAAACATTACTGCTCTTCAGGTCCTTTATTGTCTACATTTTGACAGTATTTTCAGTTCAGGTTCTATCTTCTTTAGTGTAATTTTAAAACAGGTAAGAAAATCCCATAACCAGATAGGTTCCTTTAGCAGAACTCTCTCTGAAATTAGCACCCAGCCCATTAGAAAAGGAAGGTTCAGTAGCACAGTGAGAGAAGAGATGAGTGTTTGGCTTCTGTCTTAAGACAAGGAAGGGGAGACCATATTTGCCTTGTTCCCTCTTGTGCAGAGGGCCTGACACTGTGCCTGTCATGCAGACCAAAGTCAGTCTCAGGCAAAGGGAACCTCTTTGTATTGACAGGTCAGAAGTGCAGAAGAGTAGAAATCTTAATGCTTTTCAAGGCATCAGGGCAGTTCTTGAAGCTGTAAGCTAAAGCACAGCATCCTGTCACATCCCAGCTGACCCAGTCACAGTGAATCAGTTCCCAGCAATCTCCCACAGCTCTCACAAAATGCCTGAGCCAGTGTGGCAGCTCCCTGCTGCCAGGGGCACAGCCCTGCTCTGCCCTCCCACCTCCCTCTGCAGCTCGCTGTGTCCCTGTGCCCACTGCAGGGATTGTCACCTGCACAGCCCGGCCACATCAGTCCTTGATGGCAGCAGAAAATGGCTTTGTTAAAGAATGCAAATCATCTTCTGCCAAGGAAGTGGCTGAACCAGAGCTCTTGAAGTGCCTGAGCTAGGATAGGAAAGGAGTGGGCTGTGCAGCCAGGGTGGGAAACAGAGAGAAGGATCTGTCTGAGATGTGCACTTCCTTCCTCTTGAGTCCTGTCATTTGATGTTTTTGTTGTTTGATCACCTGCTCCAGTACTGGTCACATGCTCTGGGCGTGCTTCCCATCAACCATCATGACAATGCTTTCTGGCCATAAAAAGAAAATGACTTTCCCATTTCTTTTTATGGTACACAGAAAAAGTGGATAAATCAGATCAGATCAAAGTCAATGGGAGTGGAATATGAAACCTAATCTTTCCAGTTGTTAGGAAAAAAGTAAAATTGTACTGGTAGCTCTGCAGTGATAGGAGACTTACAGAGCTTTTGAATTTTAGACCAGAGCAGGGATCTGATTTTGTGTGTTCTGGATAAGATCCATGGCTGAAAATAGGCAACAAAGTGGAACATTGTTGTACCAGGCCCTCCAGGAGGGGGATTGCACCACACATCAATAATCTTGCAAATCAGTGTGGCACAACTGGATAGAGATCATATTAGATAAATGAGCAATAGAAATACATGTAAGGAGACAATGATGTTGTTTTGCATTATTTCATCCCTTAGAATGGATTTGTAATGAGTTGTAGAAAATGTTTTGTACACTTTTGTATTTTTGTCCTGGTGCACCATGGAAAATATCTCCAATAGTTCTCCCCAACTGTGTTAAATCATTTTGTCAATGTATTACAGATTTAATAAAAGCTTTTCCAATGCATTTGGCTTCCAAAGAAGGATGTGTAGAAAAACATCAAAAACATCAGATAGCTTCCAAGTTAGATGGTTGGAATAGAGAAAAGAATATGCAAGTCAATAAAGACTCAGTGTAGTAGGTAAAAATGGAAACCACCTGCCTTGCCCCTGGGAATCCCAGTTTTATTGTAGCTACACAACTCCCCCACAACACTAAAGAACAGAGTCCTGTAATAGCAGAGCCAGTTCACTGAGGGCTTATCCAGCAGTTTCAGAGGTCAGTCAGGAATAGATCTGCATTGTTGTCTCACTTGTCCCCTTTCACATTTTGGGAGTAACATGTAATCCAGAGTTTAAGTAGCAAGGAGTATACACTTGGGAAAACACAAGGAAAATCTTGTGGAATTAGTACATGCATAGTCTGACTCTGGCTAGTCTTTCCTCATTTTCTTTCTCTCCATCATTTTTATATGTATCAGTAATTTTATTCCCAATCCTCCTAACAAATTCCCTATCTAGAAGTGATGAAAAGGAGGACTTGGAAACGGGCAACTCCTTTCCCTGCAGCAGGAACCACAGAAATTTGATGCTTTGCCTGTAAACTTGAAGCCTCTGATGTAATTTCATAGGAATAAATAACTGCTGTCAGATGCTGGTGACCTCACATTTTCCTAACTCAATGCAGCAGCAGAGAATGCTTTTCCAGACTTTGAAAGCGTGTATTTTAAACTAATCTTTTAATGAAAATCAATAATTTAAACCAGGAAGTCAAATTCCTTCAAGAAGTCACCTTATAACACACTGACCCACAGCTATGAGTTAGCACGAGTTAACATTTTAATATGTAGTAATGTGATTAAAAAGTCAGATATCCTATTGATGTTGGTATTTATCAGGGGAGTACAAGGAAATTGATTGTTGCAGGATCAGTAGTAATAAGCATGTGGGTATGGGTATATTCTTGTGGAGGTAATTGGCACCACGCTGTTCAGAGTTTTTCTTTCTTGAAGCCAAGAGAAAGCTGTGATTAGGAATCTATCTTCTGTTTTAGACTTCTGAGGAAACTGTGCTTAGAAAGCATAGGGGAGAATTAATACCCCAGCTGGCAATATTGGAGCTGTACAAGGAATTGAATATAGATAATTAAATGATACTTTGTCATAAAAAAAATGTTTTTACAACAAGGGCAGAATTGTATTGCAGTGCTGTAACTTTAGAAGCTTATTTTGGACTTTTTCAAGAAAGAGCAAAAAAGTACACAGGCTTAGTCTGTGAGGAGCGTGTTTTCAGGTGCCTTTTTTGTACAGCCAAATACCTGCTTAGTTCAACTAAACACAGAAACAAAGCTAAATTATTTTTCTGTAAAGAAAGCAGAGCGGTGCTGTGAAGATGAAAATATGCATTTCAGATAGGACTCCTACAAAGGCCTTTCCATGCTCTGTGGTTGTGTGAAAAATTACCATTTGAAAGGTGGGGATTCTGTGGCTGCATCCTATCAGTAGGGGCAGATACACAGTATGTGTATTTTCCTGCTAGCATTGTGAACAGCAGCTTGCACTTCTTTCCCAAGGGAGGAGATATATGTACATATAAGTGCATCTGGGTTTTTTTTAAGCTTATATTAAATTATTGCTAAAGCAAAGGTATTCAGCCAAATGTGGAAAAACTCCCAAGGTACATCGCAATATGATATCATATTCAGGACTATTTGATAATATCAATTAGTGAGAATTTACCCAGGCTGACAACATAACACTTTTTCTTTTCAACAAAGAAACAGACCTTATCATTCCAAAATACAAGAAGTAGTTACTGTCTGTTAAAGACCTTGAACACTGACCAGTAATGCCTTTAACTTCAAAAATTATACTGTATCCTTGGCTTTTTACTTAGTGCTCTACTGTTTTGTAATTGAATCATATTAATTACCATGTGTCAATATCATCAAAAAGTACCATAGTGTTTTACTTAACCCAGGGTAATTGCTTGAAAAGAATCATTAAGATTTAATATCTCTAGAGTATTGGAAATAGGGGAGAAGGTTTTTAAATTTACATAAGTAGGATCTTCTATGGGTTTGGGTGGAAAGGGATCCACTTTCATTGTACAACAGAGAAAGTTTAATTCTCTTTTCATAACTCAACATTCAAAATTCTTTCCGTGAAGCAAGTTGGGCAGAAGTAGTCTCATTCTGAACGTTGTTCAAGTAGCAATTTGGAAATATTTTAACTCAGAAACTAAGTGGTGTATTTTTAAAGTACTATATTACAAATTCCTACTCTAAAAATAGATGTATTTACATGGTGAGGTGTTATAAGTTAGTCCCTCATTCTTGCTGTGGGTTTGATGACACAAAGCAGCTGTAAAGCTGGAAGATCTGGTGCCCTGAGAATTGCTCCTGCCTTGTAAATTAAATCTCTATTCATTAAGAATGCTAAGTACTTCCTACACTAGTTAAAGCCTATGTAAGGTCCCACAGAGGGGCTTTGTTATTAACACACTCAGGCAAAAGCTGGCCCTAGCTTTGCTACTGCTGTTTTCATTTCCATGGGTGATTGATAAAATTTCATGTACATTATGTTGGTTTAGATATTTATATCCATGTATTGTAAAAAATGAGGCTCCAGTCCCTTTGCTGCTGGTTATTTTTCCTTGTGATTCTGGAATGAAATGAAGCATAGATGGGTATGGCTGCTGAATTCAATCTTCTCTTGACTTGTCCTCTAATGCCACACACTATCCTGCTTTTACTTTAGTTCAGAGTATGGAAATGTCAAGAGAGTTTTGCAAACCTTTCAGTGGAATTAGCTCAAATGTTAGCAGGATTGGGTCAGGATTTGCAGCATGTCACAATGCTGATCACAGACAGGCAGTAAAAAACATAAAGATGGTGATATAAGCCAGCAAAGCAAGCCAGCTCCAATTTAGTTTGGCAAAGTCTTCCTTATGCTTTCCATTTTCCTTTGTGTTTCAGCACTCTCACACACATGTGTGAAGGTACACATTGTAAATGTCTGCAAATTTATTGTCCAGCATTATGAAATTATGCCAGTTTTATCTCCAGAGTGCCTTTGCCTGTCCTCATGCCCCTATTATGCTTTCCTGAAGACCAAGCCAGAACAGATGTTCTTCACTTCTTCGGGACTGGATTAACACTACCATAATGAAACCATTAGGAATGGTGATCAGTAGAAATCTGGGCCTTGGAGAGGGGCTCTGAACTACCAGATTTGGTGGATTTTCTGTCCTCACTGGGGACCATTTGTGTAGCTTCTGCAATATCCCTTCAGGAGCAGTCTGAAATCTATGCCAGAGGGAGAATTTCCCACTGTCCTCACTCTGTGTATTCACAGTTAAATGTGTTTTGGTTGCATAGTTGATGGGCAAAGACCATAGTTTACACAGCAGCAGTTCTACCTTTTCATAATCAGTAAAGTGTTCATAATCAGCAAAAATCATGACAAAAAATACGCTGTGACACTTGTTGGAAATATGTTGTTCATGTTTGTTTGTGTTTTCTGACTTGTTGAATAAAAAATGCAGTTATCAGTGTTAGAAGTTGATTTTTGTATATTCCAGTATATCTAAGGTACGTTTATACCTTGTAACCTTGTCTCTTCACCCACTGTAAATACTCAACTGACTATGTTTGTTTCTGGAAAATCAGTGTTTCAGAAGGGCCGGGCCATAGACACGGGAGAAGTGGAGATTGGAGCACAGGTTATGCAGACCATCCCACCTGGTTTATTCTGGCGCTTCCAAATTACCATACATCACCCCGTGTACCTGAAATTCAACATTTCACTGGCAAAGGATTCCCTGCTGGGGATTTATGGCAGAAGAAACATCCCACCTACTCACACTCAGGTAATTGGAAATGATCCTGGTTCTATCACACTTATGTTTTCAATCAGCAGTGGACAGGAGTGTTCACAAGATGCTTTCAAAGCAGAGAGGGAGGGAAGGACTGGCTGTAACCAGTCTGGTTATCCTTTTCTTTTTACTGAGCTCTGGCAATATCTCAAACCATGCTCTCTCAGAGCACAGTGTCATAGCACACAGGTCAGCAGCTGTGACCTCAGGGATGTGACTGTCTGGCAGGCTGAACAGGTACACACTGTCCTGCTGCATAGATCCAGTGTCTTCTATGCAAGGGATGAAATTCCAGTTCACTTGAAAATGCTTTAATTTTTATATGATTCCCTTAAAAGAAATAGATTGTACAGTCAGTCTAAAGAGTTAATAGAAAAGGAAAAAACTGTCTCTGGTTGCTAAGATCAAAATTAATTTTGAGTGCGTACTCCTGGGGATTTTGCAAGAGAAAATCTAGCTAAGCAGTCACATGCAATATTGCTGGTCACATTCAATTTTTTTGTTTAGGCCTAATGTATTTGGCATATGAAGCTGTCATTTTTATGGATAGTAAATTTTTCATCTTTCTTTATAGCAGGATCACACTCCACAGAGTGTGATAAACATATGTGGAATCATGGAAAGATTGTCTATAATGGACCACTGGAGATCATCTACTCTAGCCTCAAAAAATTTTTACTAGAGTTTTGATATTAGAAATATGCACTTTCAGCTGTCACTGACTTTAATTGAAGCTGGATTGTCCATTGAGCTGACAGTGAACTTTATTGAAAATCAGAATGCCTAAAAACCTGGAGAAATAATATGTATTTCTTGAACAGGGATTCATAGAAATCTCTGGTGCTTTGAGGTTAACAGGCATTGAAGTTGTCAGCATCCACCTGGTATTAAGAACTTTCCTGTAAAAAAATATATACTTATTTGCATTACTAAAACTAAATATAAAGAAAAAGTAGATTGAGGTTTTGATATCTGATAGTGATATCAAGGGGATTAAGGATTTAAAAATCTGATAAAGAACTACAGGTTTTTAATCTGCTCTTGGCATTTGAGATGAATAGCTCCATAGCACAGGCACTACACTTTGGGAATTTTGGAATTATTCCCATTGAAGAGATGTAATTTTTGGACTGACTCTGCTGTATCTAGTGTAGCAAGTCTGATTTTACCCTGCCATAGCAAACAGTTATACCAGTTTTGATGCCACATTTCTGAACTATGATAATGCTTTCTGTATGTAAACTTAAGCCAAATTGATTAGGTTATGCAATTGCTGTCTACACTGGTGAATACTTAGGCAATTCCTCTTAAGATTTCAACTGTTAATTCATGTTTGAAGGAGACATGCAGAGTAGATTCATGAATATTTGCTAGGTGGTTAATTTTTGCTCATTATTATTTCAGTTTGATTTTGTAAAACTGATGGATGGAAAACAGTTAATTAAACAGGAACCAAAAAACTCAGAGGAGCCTCAGCAAGCTCCCAGGAACCTGATCTTGACTTCACTGCAAGAGACAGGTTTCATCGAGTACATGGATCAAGGAGCTTGGCATATGGCATTCTACAATGATGGAAAGAAAGTAGAGCAAGTGTTTGTACTGACTACAGCTATTGGTAAGAAAAATCACTATATAATTATTATTATTATGATTATTACATTGCAAAGATGTATTTGATATATTCCAGCTCCTCTTAAGTATCCTCTTAAATATGTTTTATTTCAGCTTAGTTTAATTAACCTCAGTGGAGTAACAGCATGTTAAGCCAATATTAGACAAATAGCAATATTTGTATATTACAGATGGATGTTATCAAATTAAGTGTGAAGTTTTCATGTGTTAAGATTTTTATATGATAGCTTAAATGCTTGAATGATTTCTGGTGTTATCTTTTTCCAAGTAAAAGAGATTATATCTGCCCTCTCTACTTATGTGGGCCATAAATCCTACAAAAATTATCCAGGCTTTAAGTCTTTATTTCCAGTATTTTAGTCAGCTGTAATTTAGAAAATCTTTTGTGGATTTGTTTGTGAGTGTTTTTTGATGGATGGATGCTGGTTTTTTATGCAGTTACTCAAATGCACCATTTTGTTTGGAATACAGAGGACAAATACAGGAAGCAGTGTCCTGGTTGCTTATGAGATTCTTCCTGCCTTTTTAACATGCATAGGTGGGCAAGTGTTTGCAGATGTAGGTGTTGTGAGTGAGCAGTCCTCACACATAGGGCTCTTTTGGAATTTAAATTTAGGTGAAGTGTTGTATTTATGACAGTCTCAGTTTGCTGCAAGACTTTAACCACTATACCCTTTAGTTAACCTGTTCTACCATATGTTGAGCAAGATGTCTTTACTAGTAATGGACGTGCCATCTGCTCTTCAGAGCAAGTGGATACTATTTTTACTGTGTGATAAACACCTTGCAGAGCAGGACAGTATGATTCAAATATCCAGATTCTGAAGGACTTGCATAGAAGAAAAAAATTAGAAATTGAGGAAGAGTTGTATTGACTGGTTCTGGTGTAAAATTTCATATTTGCTCTGTTCAAAAAAGTTGAGCTTCTACAAGAAAATATGCCATTATTCAATTTTATCTGAGAAAATAAGAGTCAAGCAATTTATGAAGCATCTTTGCAGATGCTCTACAAAGACCATAAAACCTGTCCAAACTCCAGCCCAGCCCAGTGTCCAAATTCCTGATCCCTTGTTTATTTTTATTGTAAGACAGGAGGGTTTATACAGGAGGATTTAAATAATATTTCATTTAGTAGTATAACTTCTACTCCTCCCCTTCCCCACACCCCCCACCCCAAAAATGAAATTAATTGCCAGACTTTAATTCATGTTGCATGTGGTAAAAAAATTGTTGTTCCATCCCCTCTGTGGCCAATAAGCAGAAGAGACTATTAAAGGGGCAAGCTTGTGAGCCACAGTGCAGGCAGGAATCCTTGTGCTTCATCTTCAAAATGCCTGCAAGAAGATATTTTTGGGAAAAAGTCTGTTCATGCTGCTGCAAGGCTCTACTGCTTGTACATTTGAGCATGCTGCCAGAAATTGTGTTTGCATAACCTGTGTATCATCTTCTCCTGGTTTTCTGTGCATCATAACTTGATTGTTTCTTCTTTTCCACAAAAAAAAAATAATCTATATCCTTGATATATATATCTAGGATATATATATCAAGGATATCTATATCTAGAGGATATATATATATATATATATATATGTCCTTTATGTGCATCATAACTTGATTGTTTCTTCTTTTCCACCAAAAAAAAAAAATCTATATCCTTGAGGCATTCTTCTTGTTCTTACCCAGACTGGTCTAGTCATATTTGACATCTCTGCCAACAAAGGAATCAGCCAGGACCAGAAGCCCTTAGAACAGAGCAAGAGCTTGGCTGGATCTCTGCCAAATGCTCCTGAGAACCAGCCATGCCCCTCATCAGCATCTGTCAGATTCTATTTCAAGATGCTCCATGTTAGTTATGTACAAAATTGATTTTTACTGAAATTCTGATCAGACTTTCCTGAGGAGGGTAAATTGCATGCAAAATGTGACATGCTTCAAGTACTTCTGTTAACTAAAGAAAGGGCAGCCCAAAGTGGGCATTGCACAGAGGGGAAGTAACCTCTCAAACCATTCATTCTTCACTTCAGGCCAGTGTAGGGATCATTTGCCATGTGGTTCTAGGAAAACTGAGAGAAGGCAGGCAAGTGCACACATAGAGCAATAAAAGAGTTGATAATGAACAGTAATATAACTATTATATAACTAATATAACCAAATTAGTAATGACCAGCATTTCTGAGAAAAAAAATCTTCATTCTAAAAATGAGCTAGTTTTTAACTTTGAAACAGGCATCTGTGTACAGGTTGTGGATATCTGGTGAATAGGTGCATATCAAATGTCTGTTCTTTGGTAAAAACTGATAGCCTGAAAAGAATGAATTCATATAACCATAGGAGCTTTCAAGAGGAGCTAATCCTTATCTAAGTATCCATAATTATGATCAAAATATATCAGTTATTTTTATTAATTGTATGTCTGATTTTTCTTTTTTCTCCTCAAATATTTTGTGGGAAAGGTGTCAAGTTTCCCATTTTCCTATAACCAGAGGTACTTTACCACATCTCTTAGTGCATGTGGCTACTGGACAGTCCCAGCTCCCCTGGCTCCAGAGCCTCTCTCCCACCCAGCACCTGCATGGGCTGCAGAGCCCCTCAGTCCTGGAGCTGGTCTGACAGTCACCTACTCCACACAGGACCATCTTAGCTTGAATTTAATTCATATTCTTTATGGAAAATCCATAGAAATCAGTGAATCCACTGCATTCCTGTCGGAAATACATGTGTAAATTGGAGCCAGCTAATCTGTGTACAGATAGGAGCCTGTCCTCAGATGTGTGAGGTTAAGTGGCTTAATATCCAGAGCTGTGAGATAAAACATGGGCAAGTTTATGATCAGAACTGTAGGTGGGTGTTTTTCCCTTCAAATCTAGTTCTTAGTTCTTTATCACATTGAATTTCATCATTGTACAAAAGATTATTTTTTTGTTTATCTGATTGTATAGAAGTGGAAATCCTGCCCTTCTCTAAGGGATTCAATTCACATGGTTCAAATGAACACGATAGAAGGCAATTTACTCTATAAACAGGTTTCAAACAAATTACTTCAGCAAGAAAAGAAAGTGTTTAAGGTGGACATTTTTCAGCAAATACTCAGGTTCCTGCAGTGCTTTTAATGGTGGTAAATTTTACATGAACACTTAGTTTAAAAGCTTTTTGTTGTAATATAAATGATGCACCTGTTATCTCAAAGCTATCAAGAAAAAAATCTAATAAATATTTGTAAGCTGCTTGAGCAGGAGTTTTGTTTTATGCTCCCTATGAATGAAAATGGGCTTTTTACTGCTTCTGCACATATTTGTATGTTGCGATGTGTCCTGCAGAGTGAGGTGAAGATGCCATTCATTTCAAATTCAACCAATTTGTGTTTTTCTTTGTGCACAATTGCCTGAATAAACAGAAATCCTGGATGACTGCTCTACTAATTGCAATGGGAATGGAGAATGTATCTCAGGCCACTGCCACTGCTTCCCAGGATTCCTTGGTCCTGATTGTGCAAAAGGTAATCTCATATTAACTGACCCATGGTGCATGACAGGGATCATGATTATGGTGTGTGACTGCTGGGCTTGCAAAGATTCAAAGTGATTAAAGGAGATTAAATTCCTTTTTCCAGCCAGATGGCAGATACAGTACAAGCACACATGTGGAAAGTTTCTTTATGCTGTACTTGAGTTAACACGGATCAACCACTTCTCCCTCCCTGACTTTCAAATTTAATAGGTTCCTCCATCCACCTTTGCATCCTGTCTGTAATTGTAAAATACATTTTTAATAGGTGGTTAGCATAGCATAATGTTTTCTGCTACTTAAAAGTGACAAACAGTTTCACTTTGGAGAAAACATAAGTAAATCAAATGCTTCTGTAGTCTTAACTTGAATAGGGTGCAAATAAGAAACCTAAAGCAGCTTAGAGACAGTTTTCCAGCATTAAGGCAAAAAAGCATGTTAAGTGAGCTTACTTCTGTTTCAGATATTTCTGTCAGTATTATCCATTATCCGCTGCATGTGATGTCCAGAAGTTCTCATGATTTCCCAATGTCTCCCCAAATGTAGGGTTTATTTTTTTAAGACTCAGTTGGCTCAGAAATTGATACTGGATTGTAAAAGTAAGCTTCCACATTGCTGGTTTACATACAGATCAGCAATGGCTACAATTTCAATGATATTAAGGCTTCCTAGAAGAAAAAGGCAGGATCTTGCTTCACTTCACAGGAAATAAATATTAATCTTACTGAAAATCAGGCACCCTTGCAAATTTTCTGCAGAGGCCAGTCAAGGGGAGAGTTGGTCTTATCTTTTAAGATATCCCATTTCTGGTCAAAATGAAGGTATACAAGAGAGGCAGACTGAGGAGACAAGGACATTGTATTACTGCTGCACTGCCTAGTTCAAAGATTTCATTCTGTGACAACCCTTGAACCAAATGAAGAATTGAGGAGCTGGAGTGGAAAAGTAATTTTACAGAACGATAAATGCAATAAATGTTAATCTATGTAAGTATGTAAATATATTAAAAAGGTCAAACTGCCTTCTTCAGATTCCTGTCCAGTGCTATGCAGTGGAAATGGAGAATATGAGAAAGGTCACTGTGTGTGTCGAAATGGCTGGAAAGGTCCAGAGTGTGATGTTCCAGAAGAGCAGTGTATTGATCCAACCTGCTTTGGCCATGGTACCTGCATCATGGGCGTCTGCATCTGTGTCCCTGGATACAAAGGAGAGATTTGTGAGGAAGGTTTGTGAAATTTCCTTCTCTGTAGTCAGGGGGGTTTGATTTTTGTCTTTAATTTCCGCCTGGTTTGAGGTAGTTAAAAACTCACATGGACGTGATCAGTTTTCTGTGAAGCAGAACTATTTTGCTCAAACCTACCTTTACCATCTCACAGAAAGTTATGTTAAATAGAAGTTTCTCAAAGGTAAAGGTATTCGTGTCCTGGTAACAGTCCTGTGAACTGATCACATTAAGTTCACATTTTTAATTGAAAAGATAAAATTATTTCTTTTTATTTGGCCAAAAGCTCAGGGTAAGGCATTCAGAAGATCGTTTAAACAAAACAAGATATGTTAGTTCTCCAAAGCAATCAGGCAACTGTAATCAGCTTTTCCCTTTTGCATTCTGTTACATCTTAGATTGTTCTGACAATATAAAGCTGAAAGGGCAGCAAACAGGTTAGTTTACCAGAGCATATTGTGTAATTCTATTGTCATATGTCATTTTTACTGGGAGCCTTTGCTCACAGCACTAAACTGGCATCCTTTAAGGCTTGGCTAACAAAAAGTGGGAAATTCTGTGAGAAGAAGGTATTGTGTTTTTGCTGGTTATGGTACTGATGTGTCTCTGCCCTCACCTATAAACAGAAGCAGTTGTTGTTTCCCTCAGCATGTCTGAGATTGCTCATCAGCTTTGACTTTTTTCCCTTGTGCATAGCCTCAGAAAGCAGAAGTCTTCCTCTTGCTTTCCCTGATTTGATGATTTTTCACTAGTCCCCTTAGCCTGGAGCTTCTGACAGCATACTTTGTGTGTCCTGCTATAGAGATTTTCAGTAATTCTTTTGAGTAGCACACACTGGAGGCTTTTTATGTTGCTTGAATTCTCTAGTCAGAAAAATGTCCAGAATGAATTTGATAGATTTGACATACCTGGAATGGTTTTTAAAGGGAGGATCAAGAAAATGCTTCTGACATAGTCAATTGTTGGTAGTTTCAGAAACCAAGAAAACCCAAATGGGAAAAAGCAAGTAATACACAGATTCCTCAGTGAGGCCATGATGCTGAACAAGCCTGTGGCTGGTGAGAGGCTGACTGCTGTTTTTAGTTGCTTTGTTTCTTGCCATAATGAGATCCTGCAAAATGGTTAGGGGAAAAACTGACATAAATGTACTCAGACAGCTATTGAAACTGAGACTGGGAAAACATCAGATTTTTACAGTAAGAAACTTATTTAAATTATAAAATAAGGTGTAATTATGTAGAAATACTGAAATATGGTGGATGAAACAAACCTGTGTAACCAAGTATGGTGGGGTTTTATTGTAACAGTGTGTCCTTGATATGACGGTTCAGTTTGTATTGTAAAACATAGCTTGTGCAGTAGTTAAGGAATTCTGTAAGGAATTAAGATTATTTTATTATATGTAAACAAGATTTAGTCTTATAGCAGTGCTGTTAACAGACACAGCAACAGATGTACTATCCAGGGAGCAACCAGTAACTCCATGTATTCATTGCTCTGGGGGTCCCTTGAATTTGTCCTGCCAGATTATCATTCCTAAAATGGAGTCATTCTATTAATTTTAAAATATCAGCAAAATAAAGAGCTGTCTCAGGATGAGGGAAAATTGCTGTGTATTTTTGTCCTATGCTTAGCAAGATGTGCATTGTCCAGAAACACTTGATTCCCTCTCTCAGAATTACACTGTGCACAAGCCTGGAAGGCTTAAAAAGGTACGGAATAAATCCTGAAACAAAATGTTGAATTGGTGGCAAAGCAGTTCAAAAGATAAAGCTGTACTTCTTTATTTTTAGATTGAAATGTCCTATAAACTGGAGGCCATTAATTTCTATGTCTGAAGTATTTAGCTTTCCCTTCCTGGAGCAGAAGACATCTTTTCATTCCTGTAACACAGGATACTGTTGTTTACAGTTTAATTATTAAAACAGTACTTGTGCTGATACTTGAGAAATACCTAGCAGAACTTTCACAGTGTCTCTTTAACATCAGTCTGAAGCACAGTATAACATCAATGGGCTTCTGGCTAATTGTTTCCCATATTCAGACCCCACAGATCCTTCAGCTCCACAGTCTTCCTGCAGCCTCCAGGGAAGGCTGGCTGCTTCCTGCTTAAAACCTGTCTTGCTAAAGCAGTGCTGGGGCTTTGTGAAAGAATATGCTGCTCATACAGCACTAACCAGCTGATTTAAATTCCTCTACAGAGCTCCTGAATTTTTCACTAGGAATAGTTTAATCCAAATTGAGAACAAATTTAGTTCTTTGTTTGCAAATTGTTCATCAGTACGTTATGACTTTTATGAAGCTGTTCATTACCTGCAATTGCCCAACATATTTTTTATGTGTATGGGAATTTTTTTTTTACAGCAAGCATTGAGTCAGAGATTCACTACTCAATCTTAGCAGATAACCTTTTTTTGTAGCAGATTTTCAGCTATAGAGATAGCTTTTCACAGGAAGGTGAAAGAATAAATCTTTCTTTTCCCAGATGTAAATAAAACACAGTGCACTAATACCCAAATGGAAATACAAAGCACAGTTACAGAATTAACTATTAATTGTTCCAGCTGTTTCCCAGCCCTACTACTGAAGCACAGACCTCCCCAACTTAGACCACTAGATCTGTCCTGGGAATCTGTGTTTTAAAAATAAGACAAAATCCACAACAAGTGATCCATATGGCCTCTAACAGTCTATGTGCTTGCTTTTTCCCTTGTTTTTTACTTATACTTTTGCACAGATGTTAACAGACTCTTTTTCCCTTGTGTTTCCTAACATTGTTTCAGTTGAGTATTTGCACCAAAAAAACCATCAAATTAATCTAAATCCCTGTTGTATTTCACTAGTAAATAACTGTAAAGGTGTGAGTTTCGTGCTCTAAGTTGTATTCTCCCTGCTTTCCAGAGGACTGCCTGGACCCCATGTGCTCTGGGCACGGCGTGTGCGTGCAGGGGGAATGTCACTGCTCCACGGGCTGGGGCGGGGTCAACTGCGAGACTGCGCTGCCCGTGTGCCAGGAGCAGTGCTCAGGCCATGGCACCTTCCTGCTGGACACAGGACTCTGCAGCTGTGAGCCTCAGTGGACAGGACCAGACTGCTCCACAGGTAGGATGAGACTTGGCTCTATCAGCATTGCCTGCGCTTTCTGCTGGAGGCATGAAAGAAAGTAGTTGCTGTTGCTGTGCTAATAGGAATTTAAAAAACAAGATAGGGATGAGCCATGAGTACTGTGGCATGGCACTTCATGGCTGTCAGCAGCTGGCTTTCAGTTGCCAAGGATAAGAAATGTATTTTCTCTGTGACAAAAATGTTTCTGTCTGGTGGCGTGACACTGAGAACAGTAGTCCTGCAAGAGGGCAGATGCCTCCTGGCATGCACTGGGGGCAAATGTGACTCTCACCTGAGCTGCTGAGCACCTGTCAGGCTCAAGCAATCAGGGAAGCCACAGTTCCAAGAGAGATTGGGAAGATGTTTTAAAAAAAAAAATTCCAAATACAATGACTGATGAGTAAGAAAGCTCTGTCAAGAAAAAAAATCTTTAAACAAAAAAGACCATAATTCTCTCACGCTGGGATAAAAACTCTCTTCCTCCTCAAAGGACCATCAAGGTTTGATCCCCTAAACTGGATTAAGAGTTGAAATAGATTTCCTACATGCTTTATACATTTACATTTCGTTTTTCTGAAATAAATGCACTCTGCACATTTTGCTCTGTAATGGAGCATGTCATTACCAGTGCATGTACTACTATTTTTCCCCTATAGAGCCCACAGAGCCAGAATCTCAGATGATAAGTAGCAGATCCCAGTAGAGAATAGATGCAAGTGACAGATCTGCTGAATACTGTGGAATACAGCCAGTGGTCCAAGTCACCAATTTTTCTTAGAAATCATCATTCAGAAGAGCACTTGGAACAGTATAAATTTCTGCAGAGCTCTTCAAAGTGTGTGATTATGGTCTGTAAGTAGGGACTTATAAAATGCTCCTCTACATGATGAATTTTTAAGCAACAAAATATTGACCTGCTAATAATTTTCAGTGTTTGTTACAAGGACCTTGCATTCATTCTACACTCCCAAATTAATGCATGCAATTTCAGTCTGACACTGTCAGATATGGCACCTGCTTTGATAAGAATTGACTTTTTATTGGTTTTCAGCAAAAGCCTAGTTGCTTGCATTTTTATCCTGTATTTTATTACATATTAAAAATACTCTCTGAAGCTTAGTATTATAGTAATATTTCCACTGATGAAGCAAATAATTAAGAGAGGTATGTACTAATTTTTTACTCAAATCTATTGCAAACTAATTATGTTTTAATAAAATGTTATTGTAGCTCAAAAAGCAATGTTAGTCTCAGATGGGTCTGTTGTGTCAGCTGCATGGGGCAGTTAGATATTAATTAAGGAATCAAAAGGCTAATAAATAACCTTCAGTGCTGTTTTGAACAGTTTTGGAAGGAAACCTCTTTACCTCAATCAGTAGAGAAAATACCTCTCTTCACCCCTAGTGTATCCTGAGTTATCAAAGGAAGCTTTTCCAACTACCAACAGGCAGCATAGCCAGATGCTTCAGACTTCTCCTTTCAAATATGTTTCTTCTTAGGTGTTAGACTAGATTCAGGATGCTCTTGGCAATATGCTGAGTGTTAGACTGAAGTATAGATGTTCATTTGTGCCTGAGATGCTCTTCCTAGGATCAGTGATTGCTGTACATGTTGAAAATAAAACTTGATTTTAGTGAGTAAGGAAAACACTAAATGAATTTAGTAAGGAAACATAAGAGGAGTAACAAGGTCACAATAAAGGAGTTGTCACATGTGAATGGAGAAAGTTATGAGGTTCTGTGCAATGAAGAGGATGAAATGGTAAAGGCACAGACTGCTTGTCTGGAGTCAGCCAACAGCAGAGCTTTGCAGCTGAGAAGGCAGCAGTCTCTCAGCCTGCCTCAAACTCTTGCAACTTTGCTGTCTCTGTACCACATCATTCTCAGTGCTGTGAAAAGTTGCCTTTCTGTAGCACCTTGAAGAATATAGGGTCTTGCCTTGAGGATTTCTGTGTTCCCCAGCAAATTGCAAATACTTTCAAAACACAGGGATACATTATATTTAGTTTTATGATATTTTTTAAATGGAAATTAGTATATCTTAGCAGACTTAAAAAGGCAGAAATAGCAAAGGTTCTAGAATGTTTTTGAATATATTGGTCCCAATACAGTGTGGCCCAACCTGAAGAGGGATGAGCCAAATCTATGATACCTTCCCCTATCTACCCATCCCTAGCTCTTCAAACAATAGAAACTTTAAAAGTGGCAGACTGGGGAAAGATGAGAATCAGTATGGGTGGAAGAAGAGAGATGAAAGTAACTGTGATCTGTGCATATCCTTAAGAATTGCCAATGTTTGGAGGCCCAGCCTGAGCTCTGGAATCATTCATGGATTTTTTTGAGGCTGGAAAACACCACGTTGTTCATGTTGTTTGATTTTCTGTATTACCAAAAAATAACAGTCATCCTTCAGTTTTTGCTTGACACTCATAGTTTCAGTTTAGTTTTTTGAACGTGAAGCTTCACACAGAGACAGAAAATGAAGGGTAGTCTACCATTTCCTAGATAAATTGTTTCAATTGTGTCTGGCCCTCTCTGCTGAGAAGTGCACCTTCCACTCCTAGTTTGAATAGGTGCTAAGTCTTGCAATCATGTTTCTTTCTGTGAGGTGAAAGACTGGCAAATTATTTGAAGTCCTTTCCAGTGTCCAGCCTGATCTCTGCTCTGACCTGTGTACTGGCACAACCCAATATCACTGCACCACCTCCAGATACTTCTATTTTAAAGTTATTGCCACACAATTGCCATCCCTTGGGGGCCAGAAAATCCTTTTGCAGAACTCCAAAGCAGCTGTCAGGATATGTTTTCATTGTGTTTAAATTGGTTCTCAATAAAAGCAGTTCAATATGGCTTGAAAGTTGTTCTGACACTTAGTATTGCTAATCCTATACTACTTGTAGGACACAACTTAGGCTGCATTTTTGTTCAGCTCTGTTAAGATCCATCCTCTCAATATCCTTGGCTGGATATCTGTTTCAGATATATTTGGCCTCTTTCCACCCTACGATATTGAACTTCCATGAGAAGTCATTTTCACTTGTTAGCTCAGATTTCAATTTACCTCCCCCAGAGATGATGTGGTTTTTGTTTAAGCTTTGCCTTGCTCCTTATGAGCATCTTTGTAAAGGCTCTTCCTATCAGCTAACTAGAAACACACAGGTAATATGCCTCTGAGTCTTCTGCTTTCTTTAGGCAGCATCAACTGAACTTCACCCTGGAAGGATTCTGGCAGATTTTTAGCTACACCAATCAAAACAACATTGTTGTGTCTTTTTGACAGCCATATGTGATCAGGAGAAGAAATTTTAAAAGTACCTTCTGTCTGTCTTTGGTTTATTATACGGACAAGATCAAGGTGTTCTATGTGGATATATACTGACATGTATTTACCATGAGGGAGATGGATTAGTCTGTTGTGCCAATTTGCCAACTGGCCTTAATGCTGAAGGTCAAAAACAAGCTGTGGCTTTCACTGCTTCAAAATTATATCAGTGTCAGAAATTTGTAGAGAAACCATGCAGAGTTATTCCAGCAGAGTTCTGTGCTGTACCTGGGACACAGTTTATAATTCCAGTTGCAAGGATCCCAAGCCTGCAGTCATTATTCAAGTAATATGGTTAATTCTTCCATTCCTACTGGCCCTGGGCAGATGCTGCTTGCTGCCTTTACCTGTGGTGTGGTCCAGGCTGAAATACACTGAGATCCAGCATCTTCTTCTACAGGAACTTTATTTTTTTTTTTTGTTGTTTTACTTCTGTACCTTCAACAGTCATCTGTCCTGCTTTCTGCAGGACTGTGCAAGGATTAAGGGGAGTTAGGTGCATTTTGCCTGAAGAGAGGCACAGGCTTCAGGCTCAAGCCAAGCTGATCTCAGGCAGTGATCCACAGACATCTCTGAGAAGAGCTGTCTTTCACTATTTTGATTCTCAAAGTGTTTCCAAGGCAAAAAGAAACAGCACCAGCTCTGTTACAGCTCTACATTATCCAAGATGTTCCCAACAGTAACATCAACTATAGAGCAAACATGTCATCTTCAAACATTGAAATGGCTTTAGCTCATGCTAAAAAAAAGATTAATTAGCCTGTGAAAAAACAAATGTTTCTCTGATATAAAGCACTGAAAATTAAAAATCCATTATAATGCTCACAACACAGATGAACACATTCTCTTTTGGAATTAATTCGTTGCTATCTTGTTTGTCACTTTGCCCATTTAATTTTAGGGTTTTTCCCTAGTTTGGTCATCCTTTGGCAAGTCACACCAAAGTGCTTGAGGACGTTCAGCCATTACCAATTTAGCCATCTGACAGTAGATGTGCCCAAGAGACATGCACAAGAGGCTGAGTTCCATTTCTCATTTAGTCTTCCCCTGCCTCTACGAGATGTGGAGAACAGAAATTTCATACTTTGTTCCAAGTCAGACTGATTATATAATATGTTTTGTGAAAGTCACCTATACTGAAAAAGGTCATCCTTGGAGTATTTCAGAGTCTCAGCATCTTTACACCATGCTGAACCCTGTTATGATAGTTTGTGAAAATCCATTATCAGTGAGACCTTCAGCATACATTTCAGCTGACCTGGGCAGTAGGGGTGTGATCTACTGATAAATGACACAGTCAGTAGGATGGAAGACTGATATTGCACTATTTTAATATCACCAGGACTTCAGTATAGTCATCTTTCTACTTACTGTCTATGGATCTTTGTTGCTTTGTTTATAGGCTGTCACCCAAAATGCCTTGATGTTAATGAGTCATCTCCCCTTGAGGTGTCTAGGCAGTGCTTTTCAGAAAGAGAAAATCAAACTCGTGGTGCTGACTGCTCCTGTCAGGTAGAAGGCAAGCTCTGGCTAATTGAAGGTGCAGCATCAACTGAACAAAAAAGCTCATCTTCTGTTCTCAGATTGACACCTTTAACATGGAGCCTTGAGATTAAGGGAGAGAAATCAAGAGAAAATGGATGACAGAGTTGTTCAGGGGGGCACAGCCTTGCATA